TTGCGGGTTCCAAGTCAGTCGAGAAGCCATCACGGTGTATTATTGTGACTGACGAATCTGACGCGCGCACTGATGAACGCTGCAGTCACATTATGACCGTCATATGGTACCTTGCATATGGCTACCATATACATAATTCCAAATGAAATGACTACCAAGCATGAACTATGCGTCCTTTCTGGCTGAAATTTGGCCTGAAGGGGTTCGAAGAGTGGATCTTTCGAGATGTCGCGTCATCAAATGGATTGTAGCGCCATTTCATGGAAATTTAGCAAATTTATCAAACGATCCATGTATAATATATAATATTATAATATAAACATATACTCTATAATTTTTGGACTGAAAATCGGTGCAAAATAAAAATATATATTTATATTTAGTTCAACGAGATTTTTCATTTGGTACTTAAATCCTTAATTTCATTGCCAGAGTTGAAGGAACATCTTGGCCGCACTCTTTCTTCGAGTAAAATTTCACTCCAAAATAATGAAAATACTGCCACTATTGAAAAATGAAAAAGAGTGAAAATATTTGAACTCTTAAATAAGAGTGACAGATTTTCATTCTTTTTTTGGAGTGAGATTTCGCTTCAAGAAATTTAGAGAGTATATTCTATGAAAATCTTTCTTTTACATCTTAATTATATAGGATATCCCATAATTTATCCGACAGAATTTGTAGATAAGTAGAGCGAACTAAAAAAAAAAAAAAAAAAAAATTAAAAAAACTGAGACGGGAAGTCTTGTACCATTTTACAATTTTCGCAATAGTTAACGAGATATTCATCTCTAAATATTACTGAATACGCGCATTCGCCCGGCCTACTACAGCATACATCCATTGCTAGCTCGGCACGCGGGCCGCGGGGAATGGGGATGGCCTGCCGAGTAATACATTTGATAATAGAACATGCACATTCGATGATCGTGCATTTTCTTTAAAGATTAATAACTCTTTAAAGTTTAATAAGATTAATAACGTTAACTATTGCGAAAATTGTAAAATGGTAGATTTTCCATCTCAATTTAGTCCGCTCTACCTAGCCACGAGCTTTGTCGGATAAATTATGGAACACCCTGTTTATCTTTAATGGAAATATTTGGAATCATTAGAACAATGTTTGCAATAATCTTTGTAAAATTATCTAAAAAATTATCTAAAGAAAGAGATGACTTTATTGTATTTAGAGTATTAGAATATATTAGGTGTACAACTTTGCTTCCGCCGTTTTTTTCCGAAATTCGAGGCTTTATTGTAAAAAACTGGTTATACATTTATGATTCAAAGTATTGTCCATCGCTGGCCACTACTTTCTCCCATCTTTCGGGTAGCATACGAATCCCGCGTCGAAAAAACTGGTCATCTTTTGACGCTATCCACGAATCGATCCAATTTTTTACTTCTTCATAAGACCGGAAGTGCTGGTCAGCCAGGCCGTGTGCCATTGATCGAAACAAGTGATAGTCAGAGGGAGCAACGTCTGGAGAATACGGCGAGTGGGGTAGGACTTCCCATTTCAACGTTTCCAAGTATGTCTTGACCACTTTCGCAACATGGGGTCGAGCATTGTCATGCTGCAAAATCATTTTATCGTATCTCTCGTTGTATTGCGGCCGTTTGTCTTTCAATGCTCGGCTCAAACGCATCAATTGCGTTCGATACCGATCGCCTGTGATTGTTTCAGTCGGTTTTAACAGTTCATAATACATTACGCCGAGCTGGTCCCACCAAATACAGAGCATGACCTTGGAGCCGTGAATATTCGGTTTGGCCGACGTGGAAGCATGGCCGGGAACTCCCCATGACTTTCTGCGCTTGGGATCCCGTAATGAACCCATTTTTCGTCCCTAGTTACAATGCGATGCAGAAATCCCTTCCGTCTTTGCCTTTCAAGCAGCTGTTCACAAGCAAACAAACGCCATTCAATATCTCTCGGCTTCAATTCGTACGGCACCCAATTTCCTTGCTTCTGAATCATTCCCATTTGGCTTTGAGGCGTTTTGAAATGGCTTGTTGAGTCACTCCCAATGATCGTGCCAATTTTTCTTGATTTTAACACGAGTCTTGCTCAAGTAATGCCTCCAATTCTGAATCTTCGAAAACCTTCTCTCTTCCACCGCTATGCCGGTCTTCGACGTTAAAATCACCGTTCTTGAAGCGTTGAAACTATTCACGACACGTTCTTTCACTAATAGCGGTCTCACCATAAGTATTTGAGAACATTCGATGAGCCTCAGCTGCAGATTTCTTCATATTGAAGCAAAAAATTAAAACCTCCCGCAAATGACGAGAATTTGGCTCGTAAACTGACATTTTCAATCGAGAATAACTTTATGATGCAGACACAAATCGACTAATGTTTCTATGGGGTTATGTTGACAGATGCCCAAGTTTATTGTATGACGTCTATGATCTATTTATTTCGACCACCACTTACCGCTAAAGCCATCTATAGGAAAACGGCGGAAACAAAGTTGTACACCTAATAAATTAACTAGCAATTTAACAATTCATCATAAACATCCTATAATTAAAACAATCTTAATACTGTCGAATAACATTAAAATCTGTAAATAAATAATGTATTACGAAAAAAATATTACCTTGGCGGGGAATCGAACCCGGATCTTCAGCATTCCGTACATGCATTCTAAGCCTTTAGATCACTAATTAATAATATTTTTCACAATAACTGTCATATGTAAGAACAATGTCTTATTTCAGGCGATGTAAATAAACAATATTAAACTAAGAAGGACTTATAGGACCATATACATGTGAATACACAACCAATAAGAGATCAATGCATTTAACGGTCTTAAGTACTTGTATAATTCTATTGTGTGAATTCATATATTATGTAATCCTTTTAAACTTTGTGCCGAATTGATTTTTCGGTCTTGAAACATAAAGGCTAAAGATTTTTCAATTCTAGAATTAGAAGAAGAGATCAGAAATAAAGTGACCGCGATTAGGGGATGCTGGAATAGTCAAATTGTCAGGATTTTGTAAATATAAATCTCCGAATTTTCTGAACGAAATAAAAAATCCTTTTACTAGATTAAAGTAGACGATAATTTGGGAATGCTGCAGTAGATTTTATACTAAATATCGGAAAAAAGTTAAAAACTTGTTTACATTTTTTCAACTCGTAGAATTATCAACTGCCATAGATGTTTATGTAAAAATTTCACAGTTCGTATAGAACAAACGATGCAGCACTCAATGCATTACATGCATAAACAATACTGAATTTATGAAACTAAGATTAAAAGTTTCAAAAGAAAGATTTATATCGATCAAATGATATGTACGAACGCTGAGCGAAGACTCGGAATAATAAACAAAGCAATAATTGTCTAGCAGTAGGTGTTCGATCTTCTAAAAGATAGCGTTGCAATATGCTAGATAAGGACAGATGAATGCGTTTGAACGAAGCACAACGATAATAAATACAAGAAATGAAAGATGTACTGATCATTATTTGGAATTAAAAAAGGTCTGTACTATCGATCTTAATTAAATTCGGCCGTTGATCCAGCATCCTCTTAAGAATTAACCATGAATTATAGAACTGAGCTTTCAATTGCTAATACAGCGCTCTGATTGGTTCATGCCATCTTAAGATTTATAAATAGTATTTAAATAGTCTTAGATATAAAAATCGACTATATCGATCTTAATAAATTTAGAAACTGTAATTATATAGAATTGCCCAGAAAACATAAAGTTACGTACCTTGTAATTTTCCAATAATATAACACGTCGTAGGTATGTATATTATATGTAACTTTGTGTTTGCTGGGTGATTATGTACAAAGATGCGGAAATATTATGTACAAAGATGCTGAACCAATTTAGACCCTGTCAACTTTCTCTTCATCCAGGGACCAGGGAATTAGAATTAGAGAGCTTCACAGTGAGAGAGTGGCAAATTGCATCACTTCAATGCCCATGTCCAATCAAGACGGGGATCACGTGATTAATTTTCTCCAATCTCTTCCATGTCATAGAATTTTGATGCTCATGTCCAATCAGAGGAAACGGATCACGTGATGCAATTCTCTCCCTGTGAGAGAATCTCTCTAATTATAATAGAACTCAAAACATAAACGCACTCCTCTTCGCAATCTTTTTTCGAGCACTTGTGAACTGGGCGAAATTTCACAGTATTAAGACAATGTCGGATGGCGCAGACGCAGCATAGGCATAATATCAATGATTAAATAATAGAACTAATAAATATTGGAGTTCGAAAAAGAAACCAAAAAACGTAAAATTCGAGTACTTGTCCGCATCTGTTACTCATGCATACGACTCTGAACCGGATACCTGCTAATTTGGGTACCTGCAGAATTGGATACGATGCGAGTACTCGCAAAATCATTTGCAATATGGGTCATCAATATGGCTCACGGAATCGTGGGCGATATGGATATCTGTTTTGATGATATTCACTATATGTTACAGATATTTGCATGTAATTTTGTCAATTTTAAAGGCAATAATTTTAGAATTGTTTATACCAATTTTCATTTTGTTTGTAGTTAAATAGTTTGAATTAAAAATGTACTGGTCATACAGTGCAAAGCAAATTAAATTTGGAAATGTAAGTGTAAATGTTTAATATTCATAATGCGAAAATGAAATAGTTTAACTCCGGAATATTTTAATTACAAATGGAATGAAAATCACTACAAATGATTGTAAAATGCATACCTTTAAAATTTACAAAATTTATTTATTTTTAAATTTACACGTAAATATTTGTAGCATGTAGCGGATACTTGCATCAAAACGGATATCCATATTGCTCACGATTCTTCAGATATTCGTATTGCAGATAGTTTCATGAGCACTCGCATCGTACACGGTTCTGTAGCTACCCAAATTAGCGAGTACCTACGGATCCGGTCCAGATCCGCACGGATAACGAAGCGGGAGGATACTTGGATATTCTGAGCTTTAATAAATATTTTGCCATAATTCTTTTTTAGACTGTAAAAGCTTTTCTTCCAACGATGCTGGAAAGCAATAAAGGACATATCGTGAGCGTGGCCAGTTTAGCCGGTCAATGCGGGATTCCAAAATTGATAGACTATTGTGCATCCAAATTTGCGGCAATGGGATTTGATGAAGCTCTTCGAATGGAACTTGAGGTAACTATAATTTATTGAACAAGTTATTCAATAGATTATTCTAATATTATCCCAATTCAGTTTTTTTTCTCATTAAAAAAAAGATTTGGGAGTACAAATTAGTTCGGTCCGTTTCCTTAAAGATAGCTCCAGCTGTTGTGAATGGTTCATAATGATAGCTGATTTTGGCGATTTCAGAGAGGTTAAACATCTGCTAATAATATTCAGTTTATATCGCTTTGAGTTTCATACAAAAACTTTTTTACTGTTTGAAATATCGAATTTTGTGTTAACCAAGCAGCATTTGCGGGAGGTTTTGATTTTCTGCTTTAATTGGAAGAAACGTGCGGCTGAAGCCCATCGAATGCTTGTCGAAGTTTATGGTGACACTGCTCCAACTGATAAATCATGTAAGGAATGGTTTCGACGTTTCAAGGATGGAGATTTCAGCGTTGAAGACAAGCCTCGCTCTGGACAGCCAAAAAAATTCGAAGACAAAGAATTAGAGGCATTACTCGAAGAAGATCAGAGTCAAACGCAAGAGGAGCTTGCAGAATCATTGGAGGTAACTCAACAAGTTTCTGTACGATTGAGAGTCATGGGAATAATTCAAAAACAAGGAAATTAGGTGCCTTATGAACTGAAACAGAGACGTTGAAAGGCGATTTTTCACTTGCGAATAGCTGATTCAAAGACAACAGAGAAAAGGTTTTTTGCATCGGATTGTGACTGAAGATGAGAAGTGGATATTCTTTGATAACCCCAAGAAGAAAAAATACTACGCTAAGCCTGATCAATTGTTGCCATCGACCTCAACATCACCACGGCCGAACATTCATGGTTCGAAGATCATGCTCTGTATCAGGACCAAAAGGGTTTTGTTTACTATGAACTGTTGAAACCTGACGATTCCATTACGGGCGATCGGTATCGGCTACAATTGATTCCTTTGAGTCGTTCGCGCATTGCGAGAAAAACGGCCGGAATATGAGCATGATAAAGTTATTCTTCATGAAAATGCTCGGCCTCATGTCGCTAAAGTCGTAAAAAAATATTTGGAAACGCTCAAATGGGATGTTTTACTGCACCTGCCGCATTCTCCAGACATTGCTCCTTTTAATTACTGGTTGTTCCGAAGGATGCAACAAATCACTTCTTTCGCGGAAATCGAAAATTGGCTCCAAAATTGGATCGCCTCCAAAGACGAGTCATTTTTTTGAGATGGAATTCGAAAATTGCCTGAGAGATGGGAAAAAGTAGTAGGCAGCGATAGACAATACTAATTGATCTGTTCATTCATTTTGTTTTGAAATAAATGCATTTTTGAACACAAAAAAACGGACCGAACTAATTTGTACTCCTAATATTTTTAATGCAACTGTCACAAAAATAAAATGGCTGTATATAATAAAAAGGCTTCGATGTGTAATCTGACCTGAAATAGGCCGCTTGTAACTTCGATGTAAATGCGCGCTACTCAACTTACAACCATCATTTGTTAATCTCAAATTGACATGTCTCGTTGGACGTATATCATATCTCTGATAAAAAAATTTTTTAAATGTTTAAAGAATTGTGTTCGAAGAGTTCAAAAAGTTTGTGTTCAGCAACTGTTCCTATTTCTGTTGCTAATGTTTCTGCTATTCTTCCCATTCTTGTTTCTGTTCCTATTCTTGAATCTCATGATGATAATCAGATGACCGCAATTGGAATTCCATTTGCTAAAAATTTTTCTTAGAATTTTCTTAAAATCATATAATTTGAAAATTTTACATACAATTTGGGAATATCTTTGTAAATTTCAGAATTATTTAGAATTTCTGTATTACTATTTTTATATTCGGAAAAAAAAACTTAAAAAAATTTTTAAAAAATTAAGATATTTTTTCTGAAATAAATTTAAAATATGATACTTTTTCTAAATATTTTGAGGTATTATAAGAACTTTTTCACTACTAGAAACAAGCCAAAAAATGCTCGTGTGAATCTTTGAATAATGCAAATTTGAGAAAAATGAAAAGATCAAAACGGACATGGAAACGACAATTTTTATGTATCGAAAAACGAATAATCCAATTAATGGACGGAAAGCGTCATAAACATATAGATATATATAGATCATTAGAACCTAAAATGAAAGGAACGGATTTTATTAAAACTGACGCACAAATGAAAATCAAATAAAAATATTTAAAAGAGATGTACTTTACATGTAAACGCAACAATAACATGAGCGGTGCCGAATGTATGATCTTTCCATATTACGATGTAATGGAACAACTTCTTAGCGGAAGATCTGGATCTTAAGAAATGTTATCCAGGTCATGATCCTAAACAACATTTAAGAAATTTTAGTCTGTCGGACACCTTGAGTAATGTTAATAACTAGCAGTGCTGTAACTTGTAAGCCTTATAACTCAAAAAGTTAATTAAAAGTACTTAATAAGTACTTAATAAAGTACTTAATAAAAACGAACTTAATTATAATGGAAAGCTCTCGAGTGCTACAAGAATATGCAATTAAAAACTGGGGCATCTTATTTAAGAAATTAAAAGTAATCTTTATGATCTTCATACAATTATTCCAGGTCAAATTAATGATATTCATTTTATATCTCCCTCAAAACTGTATAACTTTTGTCTGAAACAATTTTCGCTATTTTGCTTACAAGATATTCGCGTGGAGGAATTAAAATGGTCTACTCTATATACAATTTTATATATTATTTTATATA